TCTTAAATTCCACATATGAGTGAAATCATATGGTATTTGTCTTTCTCTGACTTATTTCACTTAGCATAATACTCTCTAGCTCCATCCATGTCATTCCCAATGGCAAAATTTAATTCATTTTTATATGATTATACAATATAAATTTTTAATAATACAATGAAAATGTTTTTCAAAACAACAGCACTGGGTGTTATACTCAACTAGTGAATCATTGAACATTATATCAAAAACTAATGATGTACTGTAACTGGCTAATTGAACTTAAATAAAATAAGTAAATAAAAATAAAACAATAGTCTAGCCAAGAAGAACATTGACTATTACTCACACTGGTCTCAATGCTCCTAAATCCATAGAGCTCCTGACCATGGAAGATTTTAAATCAACTGGAACACATCCATTCTGAGGAGTACAGAAGGGCAGAACAACAACAAAAACAAAAGGATTGAGACATTCTCTCCAATGGCCCTTAATTCCATCTTTATTTATTCAGTCAGTAGGCAATTAGTAAGTTGTGATCATGTCTATTTTATTTTCTCTTAAGGGACCAAATCACATCAATATGGCCACTGACAAAGAATATAAACATTGACTACTACTCATTACTGCCTATGTCATACTCAGCAAAAGGGGCAACGTGCTTATATCATTTGTTTTCATTAATTGTCAGTGTTTGCAACATATATTAATTGAACTTCGTACCTCACCACATATTTTTATAATTGGACAATGATTTACTCCCATCATTTTTTTTGTAACATGTTTATTGCTATTTTGACTGATCTCATTATATTTGTAGAAATAAAATGAATAAAAACCAAGACCCAAAAGAAGACCTTGTATATCCTGACATCTGTATAGGACCATTTCAACAACATGGAATGGATTTGTTTTGTGCTGGATCTCATAGTTCCAGACACACAGTATTCACTACACATGACTCCTATGCCATCAGTTGCCATCATTGGTCCAGGACTGGCTCTTTTTTCTATTGTCATCTGCATCTGGTTATTGATTAATTGCCTAATATAGAAATTAACATAAGTCACCAAACAAAATCACAAAATCCTTGAATATCCCTTACATCTATTCATACAATCATAACAATAATAAAGGCTCTTAATTATCAGTGCCTATACAATTCTTAAGCAAAAGGCAAAAATGCTTATTCTATTTGTTTCTTAATGAGCATTTTTGTTCATTTCTTATACATCACAACATATATTACTGGCTGGATAATGCTTCACCCTATTTCTCTGTTTTTTTTACATTTTTAATGCTTTGATTACTGATTCATTCATAATAATATATCTAAGTATATAAACCCAAAATAAGAATATGAGCACTTTGATGTAATGAGCACTGAGTGTTATATGTAACAGATGAATCACTAAATTCTACCACAAAATTAATAATACACTATATGTTAACTAACTTGAATTTAAATAAAACCACTGAGGACAAACTCTTTCATTATTAACTGAACTCAGTGTTTCACATATGGATTAACATCATATTTGATATTGGGATGTTTGGGCTTCTTGATTACATCAATTTTTAATAATAGAGTAATTAAAACAAAACAAAACAAAACATTCCATCCAAGATAAGAACATTGACCATTACTCACATTGTTCTCTATGCTCCTAAGACACAGATGCAGCCACAGAGCTCTGCCACGTGAAGGTGTTTAATGAGCTTGAGGGCGCCCGTTCTGAGGAGTAGAGAGCAGAGAGGATGATAACAAATTGCGACCTCATCTTCATTGATCCTTGCTTCTGCATTTCACTTTTCAGTGATTTAGGCAATCATTAATTAGGAGTATACGATATTTATTTCATTTTCTCTTAAGAAAATGAACTTAGACCTTTTCCCCAACCCAGAAAATGAACATCGATTATTATTTATTTTGTCTATATCATTCTCAGCCAAAGATTTAAGTCATGTAACCATTTATTCGTCTTTGGACTCCACACTGTTTTCAAATTTATTAATACCATTTCTTGCCTTACCACATATTTTTATAATTAGAGCATACTTTCCCATATTCCTCCTTATTTTTTCTCTTTATTTATTTATATTTATATATATTGGTTTAGTGACTATTTCAATGCTCCAATTATAATTCCAGATGAAAATCCATGAACAAACACAGAGACCAAAAACAAGATCTCTGTATATTCCTGACTTCTGCCTATAGCATCCTTCCAAACAAAGAGAATGCACCGTCGTGTTTCGTTGGACCTCAGAGTTTCAGACACATGTTATCCATCATCATCCATGACTCATACGCCACCAGTCATCATCACCGGTCCAGGATTGGTCCTCTTTCTCTTTGTTCACTTCTAAGTTGTTTATTAATTCACACTAATGATTCTGTGAATATTCTTAAGCAAACCACCCAACCCAACACAAGAACTTTGACTATTACTCACGTTGGTCTCTACGCTCCTAATGCAAAAATGCAGGCACGGAGCTCATGACCATGGAAGATGCTTACATCAGCCCAAGTGCGTCCATTCTGAGAAGTACAGGGCAGAGCAGTGGATAAAGAAAATGAAGACCTTATCTACATTTACCCTTCCTTTCCACATGACATTTACTCAATGTTTTACATGTGTGTTAATTTTTCATTATTTTCCTTTCCTACTAACAAAGGGAAGAAGCTTGAACTTGGAACTGATTCAGAATTTAAAAATAATTGATTTTTAATTACCTGTGTCTACGTAATTTTTAGCCAAAGAAGTAACACCCTTGATCCATTTATTTCTTAATGGGCATTGGTGTTTTTAATTTTTATTAATAATATGTCCTGCCTTGGGGTGCCTGGGTGGCTCAGTCGTTAAGCGTCTGCGTTTGGCTCAGGTCATGATCCCGGGCTCCTGGGATCGAGCCCCGCATCGGGCTCCCCGCTCAGCGGGAAACCTGCTTCTCCCTCTTCCACTCCCCCTGCTTGTGTTCCCTCTCTCGCTGTGTCTCTCTCT